CGTAACATGGCAAAATTAATAAACTTGAATTCATTCATTACATTCTTTGAAATACTAAATCATTTCTAAAACTTTAATATTACACTTATTAGACTTTGTAAGAGAGGCATAAGATCTCCCTAAATAGCTCATAATTAAAATTATAAAAAATATTAAGAATAATCACAACTACTTTGTAGTCTTAGTTGAGTAGTAGCATCACTTCTCATTCAAAATTTAAAATAAATGTTATAAATCTCATAATCTACTCAATTGTTTTATTATTTTTTTTATCATCTATATCATTCATCAATATTTTGTGGTTTCTTATTATAACCAAGGTTGATTACCCTGCAATAATAATCGCGCACGAGTTAATTGCAAACGAACCATAAAAATAATTTCTAATGTTATATATCAAATTACGCATTCCTACGATTTGATAAAACACGACTTTTTTATATTAAATCTGTAAAATTAATTTAGTTTAACGTGAATATTGTGTAAAACTTATGCTGATTAGGACGTCTAATTAGGTCAATTGTAAAATTATCTTTATGAATGTAGCCCGAAATTATAGTATGGATTTATGAATATGGTAGATAAGAAAATTAAATAATTTAATACAACTACTAGTAATATAAATATGTATTATATTTTATTTTTACTATATGTAGTAAATCTTCTATATTATTTTAGGTTTTCAATATATCAATATATATGTAGACTGCTGCACTCTGCAAATGTTGCAACTTGTAAAACATTACTAAGCACTCTAAATATGCGATAATTTGAAAAACTGCTTAGAACATTAAAATAGTTCGTTGACTTTTTGAATTAAATAATCGATTTGTAAATACACGAGAATATCAATTATAAAAAAAATTAAGTACAACGTCGTTAGAAAATTCTTTAATCTTAATAATCCAAAGTTTGAAATTAGATGTACTGAAATTGATCGAGATCATGAATTTATTTTTTACAAATTAAAGTATAATTTTTCCACATTTTTTTTATCACAATATATATTTTTTGATCGCTTATTTATTGTCCAATGATGAAATTTAAATTATATTCAATGATAATGACACATTTATTAATTGAGTTAAAAGTTTCCATATCAGGACAAAACCATGTAAACAAAACAGCAACAATGACAAAATTCCGTTCCAACCATTTCAAAAACAAAATCTGACGATTATAAATCCGTTACAACTGCATTTCCAGTATTTTGAATTCTCTTCCTGTTATATAACTGGGCAAACCATAAATTATTAAGCGTTATTGGTTTTCAACAAAAAACAGAAACCGTCGTCGAGCAGGTATTTATGCATCTTATACTAAACCTCAGCCGCTAATTTATAATATTACATTACAGTTAGATAGATGCATAATTTGTGTAAACAATAAATAACTAAAAACTAACGTTTGTTATTAAAATTTAATTAAATTTTAAAATAAACTTACCGCTGCTTTTCCGAATGGCACAAATTTGAAGTTCGTGAACGGCGCCAAAGCTTCAAAGTTTGGGTAAAGTTGATTTGATATAAATCTGACACTGTCTGGGCACAAAGTTTCGTAGAAAATGGTCACATCTAGCTAAAAAAAGAAAAAATATCATAATTATGTAGTTTATTTAAAATTTCATTTATATATCAGAAGGTTGTATAGCCAAATAGATAACAACAATGTTTTAAGGAAGATGTAATAAGCTTTTAGTTAAACGGCTGAAATATCCATTTATACTTGTTATTTATCAAGGGAACTATCCACGTCACAATTTAGGTTCTTTTTAAGTTCTTTAGGTTCTTGCCTAGAAAGATGTTGAAAGGTCGCGAAAGAAATAATTGAGCTTTTACGTCGATCAATTTTTTTGACTTTTCCAAAAATTTGAGGATCTGCTCTTCAAAGTCTAAACTTTCGATTTTAAGTTCCTGAAGAGCATCCAATGAAAATTATGTATTTTCAGAAGATTAGCTCACATAATAACAAACTCAGCAAAATAAATGAACTATATAATCCTAATTATTTTTATGGGGGTTCATACGCTTGGCTTCCAAATCTCAAATTCTCCGGTTCAAACCTGATGTCAAGCTGTGGTGATATCAATTTTTAATTTGAATAATAAAGAATGAGTAAAAATAGTCATTTCTGGCATTACGTGATTAAATTAGAGGAATATCATTATTATTAGAAAAAAATTAATAAAAAATTATATCAAATATAGAGATAGAACAACCATTGGGTACCCTTCCAAAACAATCATGTATCATCATAATAGGACTCTTAAGACCAGATTGCTGTTCAAAACCACAATACAAAATATGCATGAAAATATTAATATCTAACTTCCTATTAAAATCTGATTGCAAATTATAAAACGCAATATTAAATTTATAAAAAACCCATATTAAGATTAACCTGATTAGATTAACACCGGTTATGCGCATGTAAATATGTAATTATAGAGATGTACTGTGATAAATTTTGCTTTTGTTCGTAATTATCAGAAACAAGAATCAGTGATGCCAAGATTCATTAAATGTACAATAAAACATACATTTTATCACGACACACAAATATTTTAGTGGATTAGTATATGGATTTTTCAGAATAAATAGAAAACCCCAATCAGAACAAAATTTGATATCATTATCTAAACCAGCCAATATAATGACTCTATAAAACAAAGTAAATAAATACATTAATTTTATTGTTGTTTATTCTGTGCAGATTATTCAACTTATGGTTATATATATTTATAACGATTATTTTGATGTCTGCCACTAGGTTTTAATAAATAATTAATTCCATAGCATTAATTATTATTAGTAATCAGTTGCATTGAAACAGATCTGAACGGTTTTAATAAAATCTAAACTTCAGATTTTATTAACAAAAAAATCGAAAATAAAAATTTTTATATATCTTTACGTTTCAAAGTTTTCTGCACATTTTAGCATACCTTAGAAAAAATGGATGTATGTGTGTGTGCGTGTGTAAGTATGTATGTATGTGTGTGTGCGGATACAAATTTTCGTTGACGATTTCGGAAACACCGATTAACCGATTTAAATAATTCAAAGATTCGTATTGATAAGGGGTCGTGCTGGTTAATTTTAAGAAAATCTAAAATTGTTCAAAAAACAAATTTTCAAAATTAAAAAAAATAAAATAAAAAATAGTTTTTGGTACGGGGAGTTCTAGCAATTGGCTTTAAGGCACGATGTTTCGAAATAGGGAAAAACATGGGCTATCACGTACTAGTCCCGGGTTTGATTCCAACTTCAGCCAGATCGATATGAAGTAGTATGATATCAAATTTCATCTTGAGGTTAAAGATTTCAAATATAATCTCAAGTGCAAATCGTCTTTCGTTGGCAAGAATCATGCAAAACCAAAAACATCTTCACTGGTCGAAAAACTTTGAATCCAAGAAAATAACTTATTTGAACCATGCACTGTACCATCACATGTTCCTATTTATAAATTTCATTACATATGATAAAATCGATTGTAGCTAAAAAAAACTATTGCATCTTCTAACACTATTGTATTAAAATAATAATTTTATTCTAATTTTCAACAGAAATGTATCAGCACTTCTGTATCCATTATCTACTTACCTTGCCATCTAATTCTGATGCAGATATAATTGAAGAACCTAAAATCGAACACAGTACAGCTAGTATCACAGAACACTTGTTGATCATAATGGAAAATTAAATTAATAAATTGGTAATAAATAAAATTAATAATCGAAAACGAATCGCGACGCGTCAGACACTTCAGACTCAAAAACACGTTCTAAAGTTCTGCATGGAAGTCCTACATCTTACACTGTATTATATATAAAAACCATATCAGCGATGGACAGCGCTTCTAAAACTGTGCAGCGGGTAATAAATAATCGGATTAGTGCCTATTCGCCAAAATACACTGAAAGAGATATCTTAGAGATATTGGATT